ATCCCCCCTGGGGGGTGATTTCTCGCTTTCTGTCTCTCTGTCTCTCTCTGTCTGTCTGGCGAGTGCACGCACCCTACAGTGAAAATCTCTCCAAAAAAAAAAAAAAACTCTCTTAAAAAGAAAAAACAAAAACCTGTCCTAAGAGGCACACAGCCAGGAGGGAGGGATGTCAGACAGCCGTTCGCATCGGGACACTGCACACTCAGATACACGAGGCCACTCTCACAGAGACACGGGCACCAGGCAGGTGCACGCTCGTCCGTCACACGCGGCGATGACAGGGGCACACGTGTGCCAACCGACAGGAAGCAGCTGTCCGCTATGGGATAGGCACTCACAGGGTCACACGTGAAGGACGATCTGCTACGTGGTCACATGACAATGGGCAGGGGTCAGCCCACAGCCTGGTGGTTAAGACGGCTGGATCCCACATGACCAACTACGTGGTTTGAGTCCCAGACCTGGCGGCCTCAGAAACAGGCTGGGTGTGTGTAGGAGTGGCCAAAATTCCAACAGGAGGGAGAGATGGAGGAGAAGGGGTTGCTGCATGACCATCTCCCACGGGGGTGCTGTCTGAGTTTCTCTTCCTGCTTCTCTCCATCAAATGCAAGAGCCCTTCACATTTTTTTTTGGAGAGGTTTTTGCTATAGGGCGCATGCGCTCACCAGAAAGACAAAGAGATACGGAAAGCCAGAAATCACCCCCCAGGGGGGATAACCTCCTACAAAATTAATAAAACAAAACCAAAAAAACCCTTCATTTAAAAAAAAAATGGGGGCCAGCAAGTGGCGTGGTGGTTGGGGCGCTGAACACTCCCACATGGCTGACCAGGGTTGGAGTCCCGGACCTGGTGGCTTGCTTTCTCGCTCCCCCTCTTTCTCTCTGTCTATGTCTCTCTCTGGACAAATTAAAATAAAATGAATGAATAAATAACTTTTTAAACAATGGGACCAGCAGATGGCATGATGGTTACATTGCTGGACTCCCACATAGCTGACTGCAGATTGAGTCCTGAACCCGACAGCTTAATCTTGCGCCAAGCGTGTGTGCGTGCGTGCCCAAGATCCCAAGAGGAGAATGGAGAGGGGATTGCAGTGTGGCCATCTTCCCTGGGAGGTGTTTTGTCGCTTTCTGACTCTGTGCCTCTTGCTGTCTTTCTAGCAAGCACATGCACCCTATAGCAAAAACCTTTCAAAATTAAAAATAAAAAACCTTCATTCTCTTTCTCTCTTTTTATTTTTTTTAATTTTGCTATACGGCATGTGTGCTTACCAGAGAGAGACAGAGACAGAGTGAGAGGGAAGGTGAGAAATCGCATGTGCCTAAGATCCCAGGAGGAGCATGGAGGAGAAGGGATTATGGTGTTCATTTCAAGCCACCAGGTCCGGGACTTGAACCACAGTCAACCATAACTGTTATGCCATCTGCTGGCTCTAAGACTTCACACTCTTAGCCCCCGTAAGTCACGAACAAAGTTGGTCACACGGCGACTCAGAAATGACCTGGAGAGACACAGCAGCAGAGCCAACACTCCTGAATGGCCATGGCCCTGGGCATTGGAATGACAGTCCCATGAAACCTTCTGTGCAATGATAATCTCAATATCAATGCCAATGACACAGTCACTGAGGCATTGACGCAGCTGCGTAACAAACAGGCTGCTACACTCCAAACACGCACAGTTGACATTCCCCGACACGCCCCTCACAATGCCCCGCTCCCTGTGCCACCTCAGGCACCCTCAGGTGTCCTATACCCGTAGTGTGCACACTCCCATACATACAGGCATTGTGCACATCCATATGGAACGGCCAAGAGGCATGTGCACGCACACTCAGAGACATCCTCACACACCACAGGCATGCAGAGACAAACGCACACACACCATTCATCCATCACAAACACGTGCATCACACATGGGTAAGAAGGCGCACACGTGTACCCATACACTGGATATAACGCGTGCATGTGTGCATGCCCACACAGGACACACGTGCACACATGCACACGTACATCAGCCCCTCGGGTGAGCCCATATTCATGAACACATGCCCCTCCTACTCCCAAAGCCCCCCTCCGGGACTCACAGCAGGGGCCCGTGGATTCCCTCTTGGATACTCATAACCAGCCGTGGGGGGGCCACCTCATGGCACAGGTAGTGGCTGGAGTCCGCTGTCAGGCGGAAGTAGCCATCCACCAGCGACACGAAGGACAGGGCGGCCCCGCGGGAAGGCAGGCTCAGCTCCTGCAAGCGGGCGGAGTCAGGCAGGCGTGGCCCCGCCCCGCAGCGCGCCCAGGCCCCACCCCCAGGCCCCCGGCCCTGCCCCACCAGGCACTTGTTGTCCTGCCGGTGGATGGTGACGTCGCGCTCTTTCAGCACCACGTGGCTGATGTCCTGGAAGTCGCAGAAGTAGGTCCACGGTGCCTCCCTGCCGCTGTCACTGCCACCAGAAACCTGGACACCCGGCAGGGGTGGGGCGGCGCAGGGCAGTGCTGGTCAAAGGCTGCAGCGCTTCTGGGGCGCCCCCAGGAGGCAGGGTGTCCCAGGGAGATGGAGGCCCACGCCAGAAGCCAGAGTTGCGGAGGGTGAGCGGGAATCCCGGGGCGCTCACTCCAGGTCCCAGGACCTCCGGCGACCAACAAAGGGATTCCCTAGAGGTACCCCCAGGGGGCAGGCAGCCATGGGAAATAGACCCCAAGGGACAGACGGCCACACCCCAGAGCCATGCCGGGCAAGGGCTGCCCACGACCACCCTCAGGAACCCCAGGACTCCGTGCAGAAGCACCTGCTCACCTCTGCCCGTCTCAAACGCCACTGGATGCCACCGGTCCCCGTCACCAGCACCTCGTGGGTGGGAGGTCCTGCGGCAGCCTCAGGGCAGGGGTCTGCAGGGGCCTGGCCGTTGTCCCGGATATAGCAGGGCTCGTCCTGAGCCTGAGCCAGCAGCTCCAGGCGGCACACGGGCACACGCTCCGAGCCGAAACGCGGCGCCAGTCGCTCCAGCGTGGCCAGGTATTTGACCATGACCACCTGCTGGGACAGGCAGGTGGGCTGGAAAGACCGCAGGAACTTGCGGAAGACACTGCGCAGGCGCAGCCGCGTCAGGGCGTTGTGCTGCTGAATCTGCCGCCGAAAGGAGCGGGGGATGCAGTCCTTGAAGCTGTGTAGACACACAGGGGGGCTGGTCAGGGCGCCTTGGGCGGCCTGCCGGGGCGACACCATGCACATGGCTTGATCTCTCTGAGTCTCAGCTCCTTAGCTTTCTAGAAAGCAGGGGGATTTTGAGGCCAGCAGGGGGTGTGGTGGTAAAGGCGCCAGCCTCCCACATGGTTGGCCACAGTTCAAGTCCTGCACCTGGCAGCTTGCTTTCTCGCTTTCCCTCTCTTCTCTCTCACTCCATCCCTCTCTGATTATACTTAAAAATAAATAAATGAAGTTAAACACAATAATCCTTTTAAAAGAGAAAAGAAAACAGGTGCACTTTCAGGCCAATAGGTAGCATGGTGGTTAAGGGGCTGGACTCCCGCATGGCCGACAGTTCGAATCTTGGACCTGGTGCCTTGCTTTCTCACTTTCCCTCTCTTTCTCAGTCTTGCTCTGGTGAGTGCATGTGCCCTATAGCAAATTAAATAATAATACTAATACATAAATAGGGACCAGCAGTTGGCATAATGGCTCTGTCACTGGACTCCCATGTAGTTGACCTCGGTTGGAGTCCTGGACCTGGTGGCTTAAACTCATGCCAGGGGTGTGTGCGTGCATGCCTAAGATCCCAAGAGAAGAATGGAAAAGAAAGGATTGCGGCGTGGCCATCCCCAGGGGGGTGATTTCTCGCTTTCTGTCTGTCTCTCTCTGTCTTTCTGGTGAGCACATGCGCCCTGTAGAGCAAGAACATATAAAAAAAAATTAAAAAATAATAATACATAAATAAATAAATGTATAGTTCTTTTAGAGATTTTTGCTACAGGTGCATGGGATGGCCATGCTGCAACCCCTTCTCCTCTGTTCTCCTCTCGGGATTTTGGGCACGCACGCACACACACCTGGCATGAGTTTCAAGCCACCAGGTCTGAAACCTGGTGGCTTGCTTTCTCTCTCTTTCTCTCTCTCTCTCTCTGGTGAGCACATGTGCCCTATAGCAAATTAAAATAATAATAATGTTAAATAAATAATTCTCTAAACAAAGAAAATAAGTGCGCTCTGGCCAGTCGGTGGCACAGTGGTGAAGGCAACGAGATTACCCGTGGCTGAATGTATGGTCACAATCCTAGACCCTGTTTGAGAAACGTGACAGGCACCTGTGTGTGTGTGTGTGCTCAAAATCCCAGAAGGAGAGAGAGAGGGAGAAAGGATTGCTGCGTGGCCATACCCCATGGAGGATCTCACTTTCTTTCTTTCTTTTTAAAGGATGATTTTATTTAACTTTATTTATTTATTTAAATTTGACTAGAGAGGGATAGAGCGAAAGAGAGAGAGAGAGGAAGAGGGAAAGTGAGAAAGCAAGCCACCAGGTCCTGGACTCGAACCGTGGTCAGCCACATGGGAGTCCAGCGCCCTTAACCACCATGTCACCTGCTGGCCCCCTCACTTTCTTTCTCTGGTGACCACACAATCCCTCTGGCAAATATTAAAAATTAAAAACAAAGGGACCAGCAGATGGCTAATGGTTAGGTTGCCGGACTCCCATGTAGTCAACCACCATTTGTGCCCCATACCCAGTGGCTTAAACTCGTGCCGAGCGCATGTGCGTGCGTGCCCAAGGTCCCGAGAGGAGAATGGAGGAGAAGGGATTATGGCGTGGCCATCCCCCCTGGGGGGTGATTTCTTGCTTTCTGTCTCTCTGTCTCTCTGTCTTTCTGGTGAGCGCACGCACCCTATAGCAAAAACCTCTCCAAAGACAAAAAAAAATTAAAAACAAAATAGACATACTGAGCCCAGCCACAGTGGCCTGTGCTGCTAAGACACTGTGCTCCACAGCCTAGGACCACGTGAGAAGGCTGGGTTCGATTCCTGGCCCAACCCAAAGGCTGTGCCTCCGAAGGCCCCCAGCACTCCAGCTCTTCAGGAGGATGTCTGCACACCCAGTGTGCTTTTAGGCATACCTGGGGATCCGAACCCATGGCTGGCCACGTGGCTTCCAGCACTGCAGTTCAGTTTGCTACCAACGGTGTCACCAGGCTGGGCCAGGTGAGAGGTTTCTGTCTGACACGTTGACTGTTGTATTGACGACACCTAGAACTAGTGCCAGCACACAGTAGGTGTTCAGTATGTGCTTGTCAACTGAAGGAAGGTATGGCAATGGGCAAGATCCAACCTGGCCCCAAATGCTTGTGACATATGCCCTCCCCACCCATGCAGCGTCCCCATGCCATTTCTATTATTTTTCTTTTTTTTTGCATTCTTTCATTTAAGTTTACTTACTTATTTACTTATTTATTTATTTTAAATTTCACCAGACAGGGACAGAGTGAGTGAGAGAAAGGGAAAGAAAGAAGGCAAGCAGCCATCTCCGGGACTTGAACCGTGGTTGACCATGTGGGACTGTCCAGCTCCTTAACCATCATGCCACCTGCTGGTCCCTCATTGTTGTCATTATTATTTTTTTTTGCTATAGGGCATGAGCATTTGCCAGAAAGACAAAGAGAGACAGAGAGACAGGAAGCGAGAACTCACCCCCCATGGAGGATGACCATGCTGCAATCCCTTCTCCTCCATTCTCCTCTCAGGATCTTGGGCACGCGCGCACCCGTACCCGGCCTGAGTTTAAGCCACTGGGTATGGGACTCGAACCGCAGTCAACTACATGGGAGTCCTGGCAACATAATCATTGTGCCAACTGCTGGTCCCTATTGTCGTTATTTTTATTTTTATATTTAGAAGTTGACCAGAGAGAGGAGGCTGGCAGGTGACATGGTGGTTAAAGGTGCTGGACTCCCACATGGCCAACTGTGGTTCGAGTCCTGGACCTGGCGGCTTGCTTTCTCACTTTCTCTGTCTCTCACTTCCTCTCTGGTCAAATTAAAATAAATAAACAAATGGATAAATAAAGTTAAATAAAATAGTTCTCTAAAAAAGAAAAAAAAAATAAGAAGTTGACCAGTTGACCAGAGAGAGACAGGGAGAGAGAAGGAAAGTGAGAGAGCAAGCTGCTGGGTCCAGGACTTGAACTACAGTCAGCCATGTGGGAACCCAGCCACCTTAACCACCACACCACTTCCCCCCCAACCCCATGCCAGTTTTAGATACCTGATCTTTTTGGCCACTTCCTCCAAGGGGACTCCACGGCAGAGAGCGAGGTGACAGAGGTGCAGAAAGGCCATGCCTAGGCTTTCGTTCTTGAAGTGGTGGATCTCCTCCTCATCTGACAGCTCCCACAGTGAGGCCACGTCATTCACAAACTCATACTTGCCCTGGGGGTGGAATAAGCAGAGGGAAAGGGAGGCGTGAGAATGTGTTTGCTCTCCAGCCAGAACACTCTTTAATCCCCTGCATCTAGCTACTATGGAGAGGAAATCACCATTTTCTGGAAAGGCCAAATCATAGCACACACACTTCCTCTGCCCCATCCTTCGCCTGTGGCAGACATTGCTAATCAATCACAGCATTCTCTTTCTTTTTTTGGTTACGTAATGCATGTGCTTACCAGAAGAGAGAGGCAAGAAAAAGAAAGTGAGTAATAACCCACCCCCAGGGGAGATGGCTACATGGCGCAATCCCTTCTCCTCCACTTTCCTTAGAATTTCGGGCATGCAAACACATGCACCCCACATGAGTTCAAGCTGCTCGGTCTAGGACTCAAACCGTAGAGTCTCCCATGTGGGATCCAGCTGCCTTACCGCTACGTCATCTGCTGGCCCTCGATTTTTTTAGTATTCACTATAGGGCTCATCTGCTTGCCAGAGAGCAAGACAGAGAGGGAAAGTGAGAAATCATCCCCCAGTGTGGATGGCTACACTGCGATTCCTTCTTCTCCATTTTCCCCTCAGGGTTTTGAGCGTGCACACTAACATGCCTAGTGTGTTTTTCTTTTTCTTGTTTTTTCTTTTTTTTTTAAAGATTTTTATTATAGGGAGCATGTGCTTGCCAGAGAGACAGATAGACAGTGAGAAATCACCCCTCAGGAGGGATGACCACACTGCAGTACATTCCCCTCCATACTCCTCCCAGGACCTTGGGCACACACACGTGTGCACCCGGCATGAGTTTGAAGCCATCGGGTCCAAACCTTGAACCGTGGTCGGCCATGTGGGAATCCAGTAATGTTACCACTAAACCATCTGCTAGCCTGCCTAGTATGTTTTTCTTTCCTTTTTTTTTTTTTTTTCAAATAATTATTTTTTTATTTAATTTTATCCATTGTCATTATTTTATTTATTTTTTTATTTTTATTTTTATTTTTTGAGGTTGACCAGAGAAAGAGACACAGAGAGAGAAAGAAAGTGAAAAAGCAAGTTGCCAGGTCCAGGACTCGAACCACGATCAGCCATGTGGGAGTCCAGCTGCCTTAACCACCATGCCACCTGCCAGCCCTGTATGTTTTCCTTTTTTTAAAGAATTACTTCATTTAATTTATTCATTCATTTATTTTAATTTGACCAGATAGAGAAAGAAAGAGAGGAAAAATGAGAAAGCAAGTCACCAGGTTCAGGACTCAAACCGTGGTCAGCCATGTGGGAGTGTCTAGCACCTTAACCACCACGCCACCTGCTGGTCCCCTGCCTAGTATGTTTTTCAAATTGCTGGATCTGGGACTCAACCACACAGTCAGTCACGTGGGACCCGGCACCTTAACCAGCACACCCCCAGGTGGCCGACTCTCCGGTTTCACTCTCTCTAGGTTCAATCAGCAAAGTGACCCTAAATGATATCATTTGAAATCTATTAAGTGTATTGGCATGAGGAAGGGCACAGTTGCTCCTTAACTGTCCCTAAGGTCCCCCTGGCCTCCCCAAACAGCCCCACCTCTCCAGCCCGGCTCACACCTGCTCAAAGAGATACTCAAAGGAGGCTGGGTCCAGGAGTTGCATGCCCTGCTCCACCCGTTCTGGGGCTGCCTCAGTCCCGGGGGGCCCGCAGCGGTACACCGCTGGCTCCTGAGGGTTCATGCCATGCCAGTTCCGGAAGTAAAACCTGCGGGAAGGGAAGGGGAAACAGCTGGGGTGTGGCACAGCCTCAGACCAGCTCCAGAAGCAACATTTCCCAGCATCCCTTGCAGCTAGGAGCCAGACTTCCGAGGGGTCTGCACGCACCTCATGCGGAAACACAGCGTCAGGTCCGTGTCTCTGGAGATCTCGAGGATGTGGTTTGGGGGCAGCCACACTTGGGCCTGGTCGTCAAAGAGAGCGAAGAGATTGAAGCAGGGTGGAGTGATGCCTGGAATGGGGGACGAACAAGGTGAAGTCGTCTGCTGACATGAGCCCGAGACCGCCCTGCACCCACTGACTCCCTTCACGCCCCCTTCCTGGACCACCTCCCCTGCCCACAGCTTCAGTCCCACACTGCTCCCAGGCAGAGAGGACAATGCAATATCCTGACCAGGCTATGGCCTCACAGGGGAACTACATTTCCCAGCATCCCTTGCAGCTAGGCTGAGGCCATTGAGCAGTTATTAGCCAATGGGGTGTGACAGAGAGATAGTCACAATCCTAGACCTGAAAATGAAAGCTTTTGCCATGTGGACCAACATGTGTGTGGTGGTTAAGGTGCTGGACTCCCACATGGCTGACGATGGTTCAAGTCTTGAACCAGGTTGTATAAAAAATGCCAGGGGAACCAGCTATGTCACTGGACTCCCACGTAGTCGACCACGGTTCGCGTCCCGGACCCGGTGGCTTAAAACTCACACCGGGCGCGTGTGCGTGCGTGCCCAAGATCCCGAGAGGAGAACAGAGGAGAAGGGATTGTGGCATGGCCATCCCCCCTGGGGGGTGACTTCTCACTTCTCTTTCTCTGTCTTTCTGTAGTTAGCATGTGCACCTTATGGCAAAACCTAAAGAAAAATAAAAATCTCTTGCCATGTTCTCTTCCCGGGGAAGTTGGAAGCTCCTTGTACCAGGTGACAAAGCTGGGAGTAAATTAGTCAATAAACACCTAATTTAATTTTTTAAATTTCTATTTATTTTATTTTTTAGAGAGACTTTTGGGCTGGCAGGTGGCACAGTGGTTAAAGACGCTGGATTCCCACATGGTCAACTGCGATTCGAGTTCTGGACCTGGCAGCTTGCTTTCTTGCTTTCCCTTTCTTTCTCTCTCTGGTCAATTTTCAAAATAATAATAATAACAAATGGAATTAAATAAGAAAATAAATAAATAAATAATTCTTTTATATAAAAAAAAAGATTTTTGCTATAGGGCACATGCGCTTGCTAGAGACAGAGAGAGAGACAGAAAGCAAGAAATCACCCCCCACGGGAGAAAGCCACACTGCAGTCCCTTCTCCTCCATTCCCCTTTTGGGATTTTGAGCACGCACGCACATGTGTTTGGCATGAGTTTTAAGCCCCCAGGTCTGAGACTTGAACCACGGTCAACTACGTGAGAGTCCTGTGATGTAACCATCATACCATCTGCTGGTCCCCATACACTTAATTTTAAGTTAAACATTGATTGTCTTTAACCAGGAGAAAGATATGGAGGGATAGGGACCAGCAGTTGGCGTAATGGCTATGTCAATGGACTCCCACATAGTCGACAGTGGTTCGAGTCCCGGACCCCATGGTTTAAACTCATACCGGGCGCGTGTGCCCGAGATCCTGAGAGGACCTCAAAAAAAAAAATTAAATAAATAAATAACGAACAGGTACTTTGAGGTCTCCTTGAACTCCAGCCCTGAGGAAACATGCAAGCAACCTCCTCTCTGTCTATCTGGAACATTCCATACCCTCTTCAAGGTGCCATGTTCCAATCATACCTCATGTGCCTTCTCTAAGATTTTCCTTCCTGGGGGAACCAGCAGTTAGCGTAATGGCTATGTCACTGGACTCCCACATAGTCGACCGCGGTTCGTGTCCCGGACCCGGTGGCTTAAAACTCACGCCGGGCGCGTGTGTGTGCATGCCCAAGATCCCGAGAGGAGAATGGAGGAGAAGGGATTGTGGCGTGACCATCCCCCCTGGGGGGTGATTTCTCGCTTTCTGTCTCTATGTCTCTCTCTGTCTGTCTGGCGAGCGCACGCGCCCTACAGTGAAAATCTCTCCAAAAAAAAAAAAGATTTTCCTTCCTGCACCCTGTTCTTCAAGCCAGACACTTGTTCTTGTCCTCAAATTTTCCCATCCTCTCCACATAAGAACAGTAGCCCGGGGGCCAGAAGGGGGCATGGTGGTTAAGGGCGCTGGACTCCCACATAGCCGACCGTGGTTCAAATCTTGGACTTGGCAGCTTGCTTTCTCACTTTCCTGCTCGCTCTCTCTGTGTCTCTCTGGTGAGTGCATATGCAATAAATGCAATTAAAAAATGATAATAATTCTTTAAAAAATTATCTTTTAAAAAAACGCAAGAAACAAAATAGTAGCCAAGCCCTGCCCTCTCTGCATGCCCCATACCCTTGGGATCTGTCCACTTCCTTTTCAATGAAAGCCTGCCCTAATCTGGCCTCCAGATTTGCCCATATTTCCTGGCCACCCAAAAAGTATCTTTCTTCTTTTCCTCTCCTTTCCTGCCTTTTTTTTTTTTTTTTTGCTTTCTCTCGCTCTCTCTTTTTCTAAGAGATTTTTGCTGTAGGCCGTGTGCAGTCTCCAGAAACAAAGAGAGACAGAAAATCAGAAATCATCCCTGCGGGGAGGGCCATGCCACAATCCTTTCTCTTCCATTCTCCTCTAGGGATTTTGGCCACACACACACACATGCGTAGAACTGAGTTTCCAGCTGCCGAGTCTGGGACTCAAACTGTAGTTAGCCACGTGGGAGTCCAGCACCTCAACCAGAACGCCACCTGCTGGCCCCTTTTTTTTTTTTTTTTGAGAGAGATTTTTGCTATAGGGTGTGAGCACTCATCAGAAAGACAGAGACAGACAAAAAGTGGGGAATCATCCCCAGGGGGGATGGCCACACCACAATCCCTTCTCCCCCATTCTCCTCTTGGGATTTTGAGCACGCACGCACATGCCCAGCGTGAATTTAAGCCGCTGAGTCCAAGCCTCGAACTGCGGCAAACTATGTGGGAGTCCAATGACATATCCATTACGCAATCTGTTGGTCCCCTATATACATATTTTTTAATACCAAAGAATATACATGAGAGAGAGAGCAGCCTCACATGGGGCCTAGTCATGCCGCCGCTGGGGCTGAGACTTGAACCAGGCAGTTGGTCACATAGGACCCGGCACCTTAACCAGCATGCCCCTGGCTGGCCCCCGGTTTCAATGATTACTTCCTCTTCAAACTCTCAAAACTATAACCCAGTCATTTCAAAGATCTTTTGCTTCCTTAAAAGATCAAGCTCCCTGGGCCTCCTACACACGGTTTCCTTTGTCAGGCTTGTTTCACATCCTTCAGAAACCTGGCTAGTCCTTTCAGAATCAGCCCTCGGGAGGCTGGCGGCTGGCCTGGTGGTTAAGGGCGCTGGACGCTCACATGGCTGACCGAGGTTCAAGTCCCGAACCTGGTGGCTTGCTTTCTCACTTCTCTCTCTCTCTCTCTCTCACTCTGTCCCTCTCTGATCGAATTAAAATAAGTAAAGTTAAAAAATATTAAAAAGACGAAACAAAACAAAAACTTTTTGGGGGAGGGGAGAGGTTTTTGCTATAGGGCGCGTGTGCTTGCCAGAAAGACAGACAGAAAGACAAAAAGTGAGCAATCACCCCCCAGGGGGGATGGTCACGCCGCAATCCCTTCTCCTCCATTCTCCTCTCGGGATCTTGGGTACGCACGCATACGTGCCTGGCGTGAGTTTAAGCCACCGGGTCTGGGAGTCAAACAGCGATTGACTACATGGGAGTCCAACTACGTAGCCATTATGCTAACTGCTGGTTCCAGCAAAAGCATTTTTTTAATTGCTAGAGGGTGTGTGTAGTCACTAGAGAAAGAGACAAAAAGAGGGAGAAAGCCCACACTACTGGGAAAAGGTCCTGCTGTAATCATCCTTTTGGGGTTTGGGGCATACACACACATGCCCTGGGAACTAATTTTTGTATGTTTGTTTGTTTATTTATTTATTTGGAGAGGTTTTTGTTATAGGGTGCGTGCACTCGCCACACAGACAGAGAGAGACAGAGAGACAGAAAGCAAGAAATCGCCCCCCAGGGGGATGGCCATGCCGCAATCCTTTCTCCTCCATTCTCCTCTCAGGATCTTGAGCACGCACGCACACGCACCCGGCGTGAGTTTTAAGCCACCGGTTCCGGGACTCAACTGCGGTCGACTACATGGGAGTCCAGTGACATAGCCATTATGCTAACTGCTGGTCCCTATTTTTTAATTTTTTTAATAAAAGATCCCATTTTTATAAAATTATTACTTGGCTTATTTTATATATTATTATTATTATTTATTTTTAATTTTAATCTTTTGGAGAGGTTTTTGTTTTTGATACAGGGCACATGCACTCCCCAGAAAGAGACAGAGAGACAGAAAGCAAGAAATCGCCCCCCAGGGGGATGGCCATGCCGCAATCCTTTCTCCTCCATTCTCCTCTCGGGATCTCGGGCACGCATGTGCTTGGCCTAAATTTTAAGCTGCCAGGTCCAGGACTTGAACCACGGTCAACTATGTGGGAGTCCAGTGCCATAACCATGACACCATCTGCTGGTCCCAATTTTCTTATTTACCATTGTTCCCACTGTGTTCCCCAGCCTAATAGAATATCAGCCCGGGGCTGGCAGATGGCGTGGTGATTAAAGGTCCTGGACTCCCTCATGGCCAACCATGGATCGAGTCCTGGACCTGGTGGCTTGCTTTCTCACTTTCCTTCTTTCTCTGTCTAATCAAACTGGAAAATAAGAAAGTTAAAAAAAATAATTCTTAAAAAAAAAAAAACACATCAGCCCTACAGAGGCAGTGACTAGGGCTGGCACAGAGAAGGCGCTCCCTCAGCGTCTGCAGGGTGAACGAGCAGACGAGCAGACGGAGGCATGGACGCACTCACTGCTGCCCCCACCCTGCCGCGGTGCCCGGACTTACCGAGTTTGTGCGCCACGCGGAGGCAGATGTCCTCAGCTGTCAGCGAGGCCTCACTGAAGGTGACCCAGGGCTCTCCGCCCCCAGGGCCGGCCCAGTGCAGAAGAACCTTCAGGCCTCCCATGGCAGCTATGGGCTGAGCTCCGTCCCCATCAGGCTTGCTGTCCCTGGCGGTGGCACCGCGCTGGCACCGAGGCATGCCCTGACCTGGCACAGCTGCAAAGGAACAGGTGGCCATGAGTTCTCAGGCCCCAGCCTGGCGCACCCCTTTTGGTTAGCACCTAGACCTTCCACCCACCCAGGCTGAGGCCCGAGGGGAAGAGGCGGGGTCCCCGGCTATGTGACCTTCACCCCAAGCCTCAGTTTCCCATTTGTTCGGCAGGCTTGGAGTATACGTCTCCATGAATTATATAAAGCCGTCGGAAAAGTCAAGACCCATTTTTACATAGAAAAACATTTAAAAAAAAAAAAGGACAAGAGAGGAGTTGGCAGGTGGCATGGAGGCTAGGGGCAGTGGACTCCCACATGGCCAACCACGGTTTGAGTCCCGGACCTGGCGGCCTGCCTTCTCACTTTCTCTTTCTCTCTCAATCTGTCCTGCACAGGTAAAATGAAAATAAATAAATAAATAAAGTTAAATAAAATATTTTTTTTCCTTTGTTTTGGAGAGGGTTTTGCTATAGGGCACATGCACTCGCCAGAAAGACAGAGAGACAGAAAGTGAGAAATCACCCCCCGGAAGGAACGGCCATGCCGCAATCCCTTCTCCTCCATTCTCCTCTCAGGATCTTGGATACACACACATGCACTCGCGCCTGGTATGAGTTTGAGCCACCGGGTCTGGGACTCGAACTGCGATTGACTACATGGGAGTCC